GGAGATTCAAGGTGAAGTCATTGATCCCAGACCTCTGAAACTTTTAATTAAACAGAGTAGTAAAATTGAGATTTGGTGAACCCCCACCCATCCAATGGGGATGCTGGACTCCAAATAAAATTTTAGCATAGAGGAAGAAAAATTTTACCCTTCACACCATGGGTGGCTTTGGGGCATTCCTTTTTAGTCTTTTAGCCACCGTCTTCATTAGAGTATTGATTGATATCCTTCGACGCGAAGTTTTTTCCTACGTGGTTTGGCACAATGCCGGATTTTAAATCTCCATTGACGTGGGAGGGAATATATGCTTTCAACAAAAATGGCATAGAGCATTACTTGCCCCCGAGTTTTCAACAACATCACTACTTTTGTTGAAGGATATAAATATTGAAGTTATACCCTCTTTAACAACTTAAGCTTTTGGAGTAGATGGTTGTTAATATGGTATCAGAGCCAAAGGTCTCGAATTCAAACCTCACCGTCACCCTAATTAAAAAAATTGAAAAGCATGTGTTGGACTTAAAAGAATGCCACATGTGAGGGGGCGTGTTGTAGGATATAAATATTAAATTTACATTCTCTCTAACAGTTTAAGCTTTTGGAGTAGATGGTTGTTAACAACTTTCATTTTCATCTTGGTCATGGGAATGGATATTTAGATTCAAATGTTGACTGAGAGTTACTTCTTCTTGACTTGAATTATCAAAACTTAATCTTGGCTTCAGGTATAGATGGTCAGCAATATCATCTTTTTCAACAACGTTCTCACTTTCTCGCAAGCCATGGCAAACAAGGCATTGATTTGAATTTTCATGACCACAAATTTCCGTCTTTTTCTAATTTATTCAGATTCAACTTTGAAATTTGGTCTTGATGATCAATGATGTCAACATTTTGGTCTTGACAATTGAGATCCAAATTCAAGTCGTTTCCACCTAATTCCACTCTTGCTCCAAATGAGTCATTAAGACTCAACTTTGAATTTTCATGAGTGTCATTTTCTTCATCGTGGCCTCTGTCATTATGACTGAGGTTACTTGAACTTAAATTCAGGCCTCTCAAACCAAAATCAAGTTGTCGCCCCCCCCCCCCCCCCCCCCCCCCCCGTTGAAGGATATAAATATTGAAGTTATACCCTCTTTAACAACTTAAGCTTTTGGAGTAGATGGTTGTTAATATGGTATCAGAGCCAAAGGTCTCGAGTTCAAACCTCACCGTCACCCTAATTAAAAAAATTGAAAAGCATGTGTTGGACTTAAAAGAATGCCACATGTGAGGGGGCGTGTTGTAGGATATAAATATTAAATTTACATTCTCTCTAACAGTTTAAGCTTTTGGAGTAGATGGTTGTTAACAACTTTCATTTTCATCTTGGTCATGGGAATGGATATTTAGATTCAAATGTTGACTGAGAGTTACTTCTTCTTGACTTGAATTATCAAAACTTAATCTTGGCTTCAGGTATAGATGGTCAGCAATATCATCTTTTTCAACAACGTTCTCACTTTCTCGCAAGCCATGGCAAACAAGGCATTGATTTGAATTTTCATGACCACAAATTTCCATCTTTTTCTAATTTATTCAGATTCAACTCTGAAATTTGGTCTTGATGATCAATGATGTCAACATTTTGGTCTTGACAATTGAGATCCAAATTCAAGTCGTTTCCACCTAATTCCACTCTTGCTCCAAATGCGTCATTAAGACTCAACTTTGAATTTTCATGAGTGTCATTTTCTTCATCGTGGCCTCTGTCATTATGACTGAGGTTACTTGAACTTAAATTCAGGCCTCTCAAACCAAAATCAAGCTGTCGCCCCCCCCCCCCCCCCCCCCCCCCAAACGATCACGAGCTAAAAAGCACGGAAACGGATACGACACGACACGGACACGGCGGGGACACGGCAAATAAGAAATATATTTTCTATATATATGATGTTGTACTTTAAGAAATTAAGAGTAATATTATTTTTTACAATCTCATAATAATAAAAAAAAATGTGTTTTACTGGAAAAAAGAAAGAATGATAGAAAGAGGGTTAAGAAAAAGGAAAAAAAAAAAAAAAAAAAGGGACAAAGAGGACTAGGGTTTTATTAGAAAACGAATTAGGCCTTGGTTAAAAATATAAAGGTAAGAATCCATAGAAGAGAAAAAAGTTCATGGGGAATAGAGGAAAAGGGAAAAAGAGACAAAAAGAAATTTATTGTGAAAGTAAAAAAATAAGTATTTAGGTTTTGTGAAGAACAAGAAAGAAAATAGTAGGACGGAAAAAAAGAGAGAAAAGAGGAGAGAGAGACATAGAGAGACCATTCACCGGTAGCGAAGCTTGGTTGGTGGCACAACAAGAGAGTCAAAAATGATCGTGCATGGGTTCGAACCTTTGAACTAAAATATAAGAATAAATGTCTAATTGTTTGAACATAAAATTGTTTTATGAAACAAGAAGTTTTTAAGTAATTATGTAACAAAACAACTCCTTATATTTACACTTCAAGTCAACATTGTTTCTAAAACTTTCTTAAAAATCCCCAAATAGTGGGACACGCGTGTCGGACACGTATCCATGGCGTGTCGGAAGCGTGTCCACGGCTTGTCCGGATATTCGAAAAAATATAAAATATTCGGACTCCTATTTTGGCGTGTCCTGCACATGTTGGAGTCCAACACAGATTCTTTGCCCTTTTAGGCTTGTCCGTGCTTGCTAGACCACAATTGTTGGTCATGACATGAGAGGCACACTGACCATGATGGTTAAGACCTGAATTTAGGTCTTGAGAAGTACTTGAATGGCCTCCATGTGAATGGCTTTGGCCAATTTTTAGATCCTTCTTCACAGCCACACATTTCATTTTTATCATTTGTCCATTATCACTCTTGGGCATAATCCTTGCTGGAAGTTCATTTTCAAATGTGGTACCTTGCTCATTTAGACTAACCTCATTTTGACCAAGGTGGCTGAGAGTAGAATTTGGGTTTTCATGGCCAGAATGAGAATTATTCTCACCACTATAGCCATTCTTACCAATATGGCCATCATTAGCTTGAGGAAAGATGGGATTTTGAGACCAATACCATATAATAGAGTCTTAAGGCCTGAAGATATGGGTCTATGGCCTGATTCAACCTATGATATCTTTCTTCCCAAATGACATAGCGCTTGTTTTGGAGGCTTTCAAGCACTAAAACTTGTGCATTTAGGTTGGGGCACGTGGTCATGAGTGAAAAATAAGTATCATTATTTTCCACAGCCGTCTTGTATAACTCTTGACGCGGAAAAAATCGAAGAAAATCTGTCACTTGACAATGATCTCCACTTTCAAGATAATTCCCACTGGGCATGCTAAAATTGTTTGGCTCACAAAGTCAATTTCCACATGGCGAGCCTAGATTAGTTGGCTCATAACATGGGCTCGGGTAGAGTTAATGGGTGTGCCAGTGCTCTATGGAACACAAACGTGGGTGAGCCTCAGGATCAGGCGACTGAAGGAGAGTAGGAAGGACCCTCTCCATTAGGTTCTCAATGCCTTGATGACAAGGACTTTCGGTCATGAAAATGGGAGCTTGATATGGAGACAAGAAAATGAAGTGCAGATTAAGAAATTCAACACTTTCATGAAGAAGAGCATTTCATTAATGTTGGGAGCAAAATGCATAAGTTAAAGATAACAAACTAGAGAACTAACATGCTAAGCAACTAAATTACAACTAGCTAAGATTACTGAACTAAAGCTAAGGAGCTAAAGATAGACAGGGAAGATTAAGTTCTAAATCTAAAAGTTAGAAGCTAAGATAAACTAAGGAAGATAGATAACAAACGGCATGTTAGATCATGGTGCTGGACCCCTTCATTGTGAGACTTGAGTGGGTATTTATAGAGGCTTTAATCTGGTGTTGTCCCTTTCAATCCATTTTTCTAGAAATTAATTAGTTGCAAGCTGAAAATGACTTCTCCTAACCATCTTGCTGAGTTGGTCATGTTGACTTGCACATTTCTCCATGGACAGATAAAATATATATTTGGCATATTATTTTTGGCTAAGGGATGCATCTTCTTTCATGCTTGATGATTCTGGCTCCCAGTCTATTTTCAGCTATCTTCAACTACCATGCCTGAGCTATGGAATCTTCTGATCACTGACAATTCTGACCTTCTTCAGCAGAGATAGGTGAGAACTTTCCATTTGTAGCTTTGAATCCCTGAACTTTAAACATTGTCAAGTTGTCTTTTCCATTTCAAGCTTTCCTCAAGTTTCCAGACCTGACTTGTTGGGTTCTTGAGACATTGGGATTCGCAGCTGGTCTCCATTTGACTTATACCAAATATTCTTCAAGTGCCTATGACCCAAGAAGATATTGAATCCATCTTGGCCTGAGCTTGTCCAACAATTACGCCTACTCCCGATCACTATCGCTAACATGTCATTCTTGACCATAGGTTGGTCGAAGGGCTTTTAGGTTATGACTCATATTTGACGGAGACTCCTAGGCCATACTGATCGAGACTCTTAGGCCATGTTGGTCGAGAGACTTCTCGGCCATGGTTAGTTGAGACTCTTGATCATGGTTGATTAGTTTTCTCAGGTCATAAATCCTTAGGTCATGAATTGGTCGAGAGACTCTTAGGCCATAGTTGACTAATCTCTTCGGCCATTGATCTATACTTCCGAACACTGACTGAGAGACTCTTAGGCCATGATCGATACTTCTGACCACTGATCGAGGACTCTTTAGGCCATCTGATCGAGACCACTGATCGAAGGATTTTCAGATTTTGAGGGATTTTCAGATTTTGAACCATTGAAAGAGTTTGTTTGAAATTTTTTATGACATTTCCTGGAAGTACTCTGTCACAATTTGCATATAAGCTGTTAAATATCTTTCCTGTTTAAGCCAATTAACCATGAATCAGCAGCTTCCGTGGTGCCATATGTGTTATGTTCAATAAATCAGCACCATCATCTTGTGCGGATATTCACATGTGATTTCTTTCTTGAAACAGGTCTCTGCTATGGAAAGTTGGAAGCTGGTCTTCTCACATTCATCATTCCCTCGGTTCTTCTTGGGCACCTGGTACTCTTTCTCACAAGTATTCAGAATTACGTCTTCTTTGAAGTTATCGATGCAATGAAGTAGAATGATGCTTAGGTTACAGAGCTATAAATTCTGCACCTTAGGTTTTGAATGGAAGTCTGGCCAAAGAATTGATGAATCTGTTATGGAAGCTTAGCACATAGCAGCCATATACTGAGTCTATGGCAGGATGACAATATCAACTAAATGCACAAAACTTGAACCCTATTGGATTTTTATTTTCACCCACTGGTTATTTATTTTATTTTATTCTGAGACGCAACCTGAAAAAAAAAATTAATAAAGAAATAAAGAAGAAATAAAAGAAAAGAAAGAAAGAAAAGGCATGATGGACTTCAACCTTTGGCATTGTTTTGCACAAAGTGCCAGCTCCTAGACTTAAGACCTGTGACTTCATGCTTGTCAATCTAAGTTTCATCATTGCACCAGGCAATGGCTCCATTGCAAATTAATGAATTACCGTGGTAAGTATTTTATTTCTCCAGCCATTTAGATCATCAAACTATTGGACATTTAGAGTTCCATAATACTCGTACAGTAGTTGCATGAAAACTTGAGAATTTCTTGAATTTTAATTCAAACTCAACAAACTCTTATTCCTTGCTTACAAACTCTCTTTTAAACCCTGATGGGCTTCATTTGGAATACACAGACTGGTTTGATGGACGACGGAGCAAAAGTTACTCTGTTGGGACTGTGGATGGCATTGTTTGTGATCTTTGCAGGCAGGAAGTTCTCTCAGCCTATTAAGGTAGATCTAATTTGTTGCTTGAATTCACGATTTTAGTTTATCTTCTATCCATCCAATTTACATTTTAAGTATTTAGCATTAGATGTCATGGCATTCTATTATATCGTTTCCTTTAATCTCCAGGACGATATTGGCGACAAATCCGTTTTCATGTTCAATGCTCTGCCAGAAGAGGAAAAGAAGGCTTTGGTTGAAAAGCTAGAGAAATAAAATAGTGTTTAGTTCGAAACTTTTTCCCCCCTTCTGATGTCTGTCATAATGTTAATTAGGCAGGAATTTTACTGGTATTGTATATAGAAAATTGCATCAACTGGGTAAAAGAATAAAGATGTAATGGTGTTCAGGATTCTCTGGCCATCACTGTAATATTATTTTTGTTTGTGTATGTGTCCCGGGGCCTAAAGAATTTTATGTTTAAAATGGTGTTTTTTACTTTACTTAATTAGGGCTAAATTATTATGAATATGTAGGGTTTTCAAGAACAGTGATAGCGAATATATAATGATTTATAAGAAATACGTTTTGAATTTTGGCTTTGGCATAATTAGAAATATATATATATATATATATATATATATATATATATATATATATATATATATGCATATGGCTTTGGCATGAATATATCATTACTGAGATTTCTATGATGTTATGGCTGGAAATTTGAATGCTCCTTCATCAACAAAATGTTGCTTGATTTTAATCTTAAGAGGACAATTTGTTGGTAGTTGTTGCAAACAATCTGTAAACCACCTGTAGTGTTCTATAATCACTAGTTTGATCATTAGGTACCAAGTAATCTTAATGACAGCTTTAAATAATAACCTTTGCCCTTTAAAATTTTTATCTTATGTTACCTTTGAGTTGTTGTTAGAATAAAATAATATCTTGTAATATAGTGTTATCAAATTTGATAATGACAACTTTTTAAAAATGGGCTAAAATTGTTTTTATAAAAAATAACAAAGGATAAAATTGTCCTAGAAAAAATAGTTACTTAAAATATACAACCTTTACTCATTATTAGGGGTGGCCATTATCCCACAGATTGGATCAAATTGAACCGCGGATTGAGATTTTTTTTTTTTCCTAGTTGTTATTCACAAACACATCTCTCTTCTGAGACTCGAACCCCTAACCTCCCTTTGAGAGGTAAGAGGCTGATACCGCTAGGCCTGCCCGTTGATGCAGATTGTGATTTTTCCGGAATAATCTAATAGTATTATTATTATTTTAACCATAATCCCATAGAAAAATTTTCAATTTATTAACATTAATTCATATATTTAAGTCATCATTAACCAATACATTATTAGAATCTATTATATAATCATTAATTAATTAAATTAACTAATACATTCTTTGAATATATATACATAAATCTCATAAATCGGATGGATCAAATTGAAGTTTTAATAATCAAATTCATTATTCGATCCTTACAAATTAGATTTTTTTAAATTCGTCCCTTACTAGTGGATGTACCAATCCTATATACTACGTATTATTATGTTATAGATGGGCATGAACAATTTATGGGTAAGTGTTGAACTTTTGAAGGGTCAGTTGACCCCTTGTGTGATGAGTTTAGGTAGCTTTGTGCTGTGTAGTACTATAGCAAACTAACTAAAAGCAGCTCTTCTTGTCTTGAAATGTTAGTAACCTCCTAACAACAATTTAATATAGATATTATAAGTTTAATATTTTTTATTTGAAGAATAAATTAATTAAGAATTTTCACCTACAATATCCTGCACCAAACATTCATTGTCATGCCAGGTGGTATATAATATTGCATCGTGCTCCACGTGGTACGTTGTCATGACTCACCTCACTCATTGAGCTGAGCTTGGACTCTTGTTGTGAGACACGCTTATTGGCTGCTGGACATGAGTGTTGCAATGGTGGTGTAAAAATTCAATCATTAGAGGCTGTTGCTTAAAGTCCAATGTGGAAAAGGCTGGAAATATATTGTTTTTAGAAAATATACCACCCCTCTCACATTCCAGATCACAAGTTCGAAGAGGAAAAATAAATTTGTCATGGTGAAGGGAGGGGTGACAAAATTTGATATTATTTATCAATACGATTCGAGTTAAGTTAATTTGGATTGATCTTAAACGAGTTCGAATTAAGATCGACACGATTAATTTATTTAACTAATCGTATCGTATTTAGATTGAGTAGTTCAATTCGTGTAACTCATTTATACCAGTTTAACTATACGTGGTATAAATAAATTTATATTTAAATTTCAAAATAAGTATCTAAATTTGTGTCTTATTATTTTTGTAAATTAGAGACTATTTAGTAATTTGTTTGGCTTGAAACTTATATTTTTCTAATATTTATTATTTAATTCAGTATTATTAATAATTTAAGTAATATAATATTTTATTTTAATAAGTAGATCGGATTAGTGTTGAATGTTTCTGACACGAATATTAAACGGATCGCATTCGGGTTGAGTTATTTAATAAAATACTCTTAAGTCGACACGACATGATTATGACCCGCGAACACAAATTGTTACTCCTGATTGAAGGTAAATATGCGTATATTTGATCCTAACAGACCTCGCAACGCCATAAGTTTTGTGCATTCAACTATTTTTTTTTCACTATAAATGAGTTTTTTTTAAGCCATGTTAAAAAAGAAGGAAAAAAACACTAAATAAATTAAAAGTATATATTAAGAAAAACTTTAATACTTTAGCTGGTTTATTTGCAAATAAAAAATTGGCAAGAATGAATTAAAAGAAATATTATTTATATTGATAAATTAAATATCTGATTTAAAGTTTCCTGCTAACGACTTAAGTTGGTAGTCTGATTTCACACGGTAGAGGTGTAAGGATCATCCTCTTGTGAAAGAAAGTGTGCAGAGCAAACAAGAGATGGTGGGGTCAGAAAGGAGTTGGGTTGGTGTGTGAATTGATGATTAGAGCAAACAAGTGACGGGTGGGAGTCTGAAAGTGGTGGGTTGGCGTGATTAAATGATGATTGTGACTTTGGTGGTATATTTTGTGAAGTCGACCAAACAAAGTTGTAACCTTCTAAAGTAAAATTTGTCAAGGAAAAAGGATGACACATCCTTCTTCTTATTTTTTTTTTTAATATTATCCCTGTAGGGTGGCAATTTGTATTTGTGGATCGTATTCGTATCGTGTCGATGTAAGGATATTATATTAAATAGGTAAACTCAAACCCAATCCATTTAATAATCGTGTCAAGAATTCTCAATACTAACCCAACCTCTTTATTAAACAAGTAAACGTGTTAACTCATTTAATAACATGTTTATCAAAACGAGACATTTAATATTTAATTAATTGCTAAATAATAGAAAAAATTTATCATAATTAACCCAAATATTCAAAATTTAAAAAAAAAAAAAAAATCATAAGGCATAAATAATATTTATGTTAAAATGACTTAACTATCCATAATAATGAGGTTTAAACATGTAACATATTATATAAGTTATATTTACGATTATAATATGTTGAGTTAAATGGGTCATAAGCAGGTTACACGGGTTAATCGTGTCGACCATTTTATGACCCAAATCCATTTATATCAAACCCAAACCCTTTTAACTCGTGTCGTGTTGTCGTATCGTGTCGTAATTGACCACCCCTATCTTTACCGAACGAAGAAAATTTGTTCATTTTTTCATATTTTCCTTCCACCCCTCTCTTTCCTTCATACCGAACATAGCATAAGAGTTCGGGACAAAATTGTGTGACGTCTTAAGTTAATTTATGCTTCACACGAGAGAAAGGAAAAGAAATAATAGTATTAATTATGAAGAAAAATATAAAAAAAAATAATTTTTTTTTATAAATTATCAAAGAAAAAAGAAAGTAGAGAAATGAAAAAAAAAAAAATGATAACAATAGAACATTTTTATCATTGCACCCTTCCGGACAAAATTGTGTGGTCTGCCTGAGTTAATTTAGGCTTCATTTGTGAGAGAAATGAAATGAAGAAAGAAAGAAAATGATAACAATGATCTATTTTTATGTTTTTTATAAATTATGTAGGACAAAAAAAAAATTATAATATTTTTGTTTGAAAAAAAAAAAAAAACTCAACCAAATTACTATCATACCATTCAATAAAATAGGATTCAAATGTCGTAATAAGTTTATTTTTTTAATTGTTAAGGGTAATTTCAGAATTATAAAAATATTAGTTAACCACGATCCTTTCTCTCCAAATCTTTACTTTACAATATTCCTTTTTTTTTTTTCTTTTTTTTTTTCCTTTTTTTTTTTGTCTTTTCAAATCCCTTCCTAATCATCTAATCCAATCCAAACCAAACCAAACCAAACCAAACCAAACGGAGAAAAAAACAGAGCATTATGTCATGTAAAACGGGTTGACTAGTCTAAATGGACCAACTAAAACAATTTCGAAAAAATGTCCACTGATCCATTTTTATTTGAAGAGGTCCATACCTTATCGAAATCTGGCAACGTTCAATTCTAAAAGAATTATACTAGTTGCCTATAACATTTCTCAGCTAAATTGGACTCCAAAATCGCATTTTCAGTATACAAAAGACCATGGAATATTTTGGAATTTGTTACCATTCTGATTGGACTCGAATTGATCTAATTTTTGGTAATTAGAATTTTTAATTATTAGGTTTCATTTGCTTTAAGTTTTTTTATCAATTTAGCTTTTGCTTCGTCAATTTGTGAAGTGCATACAAAAAGAAAAAAGAATATATATATATATATATATATATATATAATATAATATAAAACTTTTAAAGTAATCTTCAGCACTTTTCAATGGTCAATTGTCACAACACTCACAATCTCGGAATTCCATGTTAAAAAAATTTGTGTGGTGTAATGGTGCCAATAGAGTCTATAGAGACCTATTCTTGTGAGCAACAACTTATAAAATGCAATGTTTTAAGTAGCTCGACAGAAATGTTGGTTGCTTGATGTCTTGCCACCTAAAAAAAAAAAAGTTTCATACTGTAACATAAAAATATGGGGTTGAAAAATTATTAGGCAGTCCAGAATGAAACCAACTTAATTAATAGTGGATCCGCTCCCAGGGGTATGGTGTTTAATTTGATGAATTGTATTTCATTCATAGTATTTATAGGCTTGATTCTAGACATAATCCCTATAATCAAGCAACACAATTCCTAGAATATCTTTTATGGTCAAATATACAATCTTTGACATACATAATTCAAACATTTGACATTCTAGATATCTTTGAATTCCTTAATTCAACACTCCCCCTGAAGTTGGTGCATAAATGTCTCACGTGCCCAACTTGTCTAAAAACTTTAAGAACACTCGATTTGAGACTGCTTTGGTGAGAATGTCAACCATCTGATCATCTGATCAAATCTTAG